GCGGCGGCATCGAGCCCGGGATCTCCATCTTCAGCGTGATCACCCGCTCGGCACCTGCGGGAGGGTTCGGGGTCAGCAAAGTGGCACCCCCAAAAACCGGCGCTCCCAAACCAGCACCCCTAAAAACTGGCATCCCCAAAAAACAGTGCCCTTGAAATTGGCACCCCAAAAATGGCACCCCCAAAACGGCACCCCGAAATTGGCACCCCTCCCGAAGTGGCACCCAAAAACTGTGACACCCAAATTGGCACCCAAAAAACTGGGACGGCCAAAACCAACACCCCCAAACTGGCACCCCTCATCCGCACTGGTCCCTGAGTGCTGGGGACAACAGTCCCTCCCCAGCACCCCTGGAAGGTGCAGTGCTGGGGGTGTCCCCCTATTCTTTGTCCCCTCCAGAGGATGCTGAGTGACCTGGGCCCACCAACATCCCTGGGATGCTCCCCAGGATCCAGAGCCACAGGAGTGGCCGCCCCCTCCTCAGCCTCACCCTTGGCGCTGATGCTGCGCAGGTCCGTGATCTTCATGAGCATCTTGGGGAACATGTGGGGCTTGTTGGGCCTCCTCTTCCTCACGTAGATCTTCAGCGCCTCCAGCAGTGGCTCCTGCAGCTTGTCCACCTTGTCGGGCTGCTCCAGGTCCTGGCGGTCTGGGGAGTGGGCACACAGTGGTGAGAATGCAGGGCAGCACATCCTGGCATCCCCCCTTGCCCCCTGACTCAGACCAGCTCCTGTGGGGTCACCATTTGGGCTCTATATGGGGTCTCCTTGCTCAGCCATCGGGGGAGGACAGCTCAGGGGGTCCGGGGGGAGCCGGGTAGGGGCCCATCCCTGCACCCCCATCCCAGCACTCACCTCCGCAGATGAGGCAGATGGCACTGAGCAGCCCCGTCTCGGCGTCGTCCATCTCCAGCGGCAGCAGCTGGTTGGCGAAGGCGAAGACCAGGTCGGTGAGGGGCCCGAACCCCGCGTTGTGCATCTGCGTGCGGTTCAGCGTCAGCCCGTCCGAGAAGGTCATGGTGTCCTGCTCCGGCGTGTAGCGCGTGCAGATCCGCAGGATCTGGAGGGGCGAGGCCGGGGGGGCTCAGCTTTGTGTCCCCTCCCCGTCCCCTCCCTGTCCCTGTCCCTGCACTCACCAGGATGTCGAGGCAGGCGGCTTTGAGGAGGGTGATCTGGTCAGCGATGGTGAGCGTGGTGAAGCCAGGGAGCTGCTTGGCGAACTCCACCGTCTTGATGATGCACTTGGTGGACAACTCGCTGAACTTGTCCCACAGGTCGATGTCCAGGGACACCCGCTGCTCCGAGCTGTTGTTCTGCAGCGGGAGGTGGGGGGTGAGGGCACGGAGGGGGTGCCSCCCGCCCCAGCCCCCCCAGCCCCTCTGGGACCCCCCGACACTCACCGTAGTGTATTTGCCGAGCTGGCAGAGCGCGGGGAAGGTCTCCTGGTGGGCTTTGCGCACCTTCTCGATGAGCTCCTCCACCTCAGGGGTGATGATGTAGCTCTCCGAGCACTCCGGCTTGGGCACGTCCTTCTTCTTCTTATTCCGGTCATTGCGGACGGCTGTGGGGACAGCAGGGTCAGGGTCACCTGTCCCCAAAGCCACCCAGACCCTGCCCAGGATGGGGGGCTCAGCTCTGTCCCCTCAAGGCAGGATGGGGACCTGCCACCAGCAATGGGCAGGGCCATGGTGACAAGTGACCAGTGGATTCCTTAAAACAACCCCCAAGTCATTAGGAGTAATTAGGGGTGACCCTGTACCCCTGGGGGGTGCCCACCCCCGTCACCATGGGGACTGTGCTCAGCTCTGCTCTGCTAAGCCAACAGAGCAGAGAAGGACCCCAGGGACAGAAATGGCAGCTGAGCCATCACTTGGTGAGGGGCCCATGGAGGGGACCCCAGGGATGGCAGCTGGGGAGGGGGGAGCAGCTGGGAGCAGCCCTGGCCCCAAGGGGCTCAGCCTCTGTGGGTTGGGGGGGCCTGGACCCCCTGTAGGTGCAGGGTGAGCCCCTGGGATGCTGAACCCCTCCCCCTGCAGTGCCCAGCTCCCCCAGCCTCTGCCAGCCCCTCTCGGGGGTCCTGGGCCCCCAGGGGCCGGCAGATGGGGCAGGACTCGGGGAGGCAGCTGTGCCCCTGCAGCCCAGGCCCCCGGGCACCCACCACGGGGGCACAGCCGGGCACCATGACAACTGCCAGCAGAGCCAGGAGGCCTCATCGGCATCATTTATCTCTGACACTATCAATCACGCGTTGCCCGGGCAACTGCCGAGCTGTGACACAATCCCAGGGGGTCCCCATCCACCCCCGGGGCCTCGCTGGGCACACGGTGGGGGCTGCTGGGATGGCCCATCACACCCGGAGCCCCCCAACCAGGACACCAGGCAGGGTGTCCCCAACACTGCCCCATCACTGACCCCATCCCCATCCCCGACTCCATCCCTGTCCCCGTCCCTGTCCATACTCACACTCCTTGGACATTCCGACTTCGAAGCACTTCTGGAGCCGGCAGTACTGGCACCGGTTGCGCGTCACCTTGTTGATGATGCAGTTCTTGTCCCGGTGGCACGTGTACACCATGTTCTTCTGGATGCTGCGGCGGAAGAAGCCCTGGGG